TGACATGTAAGGTATGACTGGTGGTGACATGTAAGGTATGATCTGAGTGGTGACATGTAAGGTATGATCTGAGTGGTGACATGTAAGGTATGACTGGTGGTGACATGTAAGGTATGACTCAGGTGGTGACATGTAAGGTATGACTGGTGGTGACATGTAAGGTATGATCTGAGTGGTGACATGTAAGGTATGATCTGAGTGGTGACATGTAAGGTATGACTGGTGGTGACATGTAAGGTATGACTCAGGTGGTGACATGTAAGGTATGATCTGAGTGGTGACATGTAAGGTATGACTGGTGGTGACATGTAAGGTATGATCTGAGTGGTGACATGTAAGGTATGACTGGTGGTGACATGTAAGGTATGACTCAGGTGGTGACATGTAAGGTATGACTGGTGGTGACATGTAAGGTATGATCTGAGTGGTGACATGTAAGGTATGATCTGAGTGGTGACATGTAAGGTATGACTGGTGGTGACATGTAAGGTATGACTCAGGTAGTGACATGTAAGGTATGATCTGAGTGGTGACATGTAAGGTATGACCCAGGTGGCGACATGTATGGTATGATCTGAGTGGTGACATGTAAGGTGACCCGAGTGATATCATTTAAGGCATGAAGCCCTACCCCCCACCTGTCACCCCTTCACCTCCATTGATTTGTTCAGACACCTTACTTGTCAATCAGCTTATAGTCTACCTCTCAGTCAGTTGAGTTGGATTTTGCCTTGGATTCACAACAGCCATATCTTGGATCCATCTTTGAAAGAATTTTCCAAAGAAGTCACCATTTAACTCACATCGTCAATATTTCAGCTATGTCATATTTCAAAGGGAAGATTGTTAGATATCTAGATGACCTTTGCCGTGGTTTATAAGGAGGAACTATTGATAGCTAGGACCTTGAATGATCTGAGTGATGCTGTCTGAGAAGAGTGTCATGAATCAAGTAGGAATCTTAAAGTGAGATTTAAATAAGGACAGGCTTCCTTCTTGAGTTTTTATTTTGATAACTTTTCTTGATAATAGCTACTTGGTATGTCCTTGTAATCATGGGATGTTATTCATGGATTCGTCAAGCCTTTGTAGTGTCATGTTTGTTCTGATGTTGATCTTGTATTGGCAAACACCCTGGACCCCTTCTTGTCCCCATTTTCAGGATGAGTATTGAGAAGTATTTGTTTCTCCAGTGTGTAACTGTTACATGAACAGAATAGGACATTTTCTTTATGCTGGTTGTATTTAATTTGAACATAGTATATCAATGTTTTTCCTGTTTAACATAACAGATCATATGATTCATTCATGACAGTGAAGTGTTTATTTCCTAATTAATCTAACCCACATTGAGCAAAATATTTTAAAGGCATGTAACACATTATGTAATATGAACACTCTTCAGTTTGCCTTTCACGGTGCAATGCCCCTGTCACAATCATCAGGAAATAACTATCAAAATATTACATTAAAAACTTTTGATGAAAAACAACAAGTATGGTATATTTGTGTACACTTACCAGGCTTCTTGAGTCAAGGTCATGATGATTAAACATGCACTGAGGAGGGGGTCCTTGATCAAACACATATATCTCAAGAGGAAATTAGTTCTTTAGCATGCCTGTTGACATCACATCTCTGGGGTTGGGCTGGATGACACATCACCAAGCCTCAATGTTCACAGAGTTCCACCACTTACTTCCTAAGTCTGGTCTGTGATGGCTTTGTTGTAGACATCAAGTAGGTATGTTCATACTGATATATAGTTTGGGAGACTTGTGTCCTGTTCATCTGCTGAGGCCTGAATAAATTCACACAGCCAGACCAGTTGTTTGTACTGTGTTAGGGAACGTGTTCATAGAATAATAATTGACAGAAATGACAAATATGCAATACGAATATATGCTCCGACTGAACATCTTTCAGTTGCAGCTTTCATTTTGAGAGTTTTGTGAGTTATCTTCAAATCAAGCCTGACTAGAAGTTTTGCTAAGTATTCAGCATTTTGGCATGTTACCTTGGAACGTGTCACCGAAACATTACAAGTATTCCTGGATTTATGAAATTTTATGCTGTTCTGCTTTATTTCATCTCTGTTAAGAACGTTCAGACAGGCATCTTAATATGCTCTTAACTGAACACATTTCAAAATATTACTTCACAATTTTTCAGCGTTTGCCAAAATGATAGAACTTACAGGAAATCAAAATCTTTTGACATGGACAGATTGCTATTAGGAAGATTAGTGTGTGCGTGAAAGAGGAATATGTCTCACTCTAATAACACGTGTACTTTCTCACCCCTGACCAGCGTCGTCTGCTGGCTGTGAGCACAGTGGTGTCCTTGACCCACAGAGAAATGCTGGTGTATTGTGTAACCAGAAGGGTATGATCATCCTCTTTATTACCCACGTGGTCAACGTATGGGTGGTTGCATACTTATCTCGTACGTCACACGAGTGTCGTATCGCGTTGACCTGTGTCGTAACGACTTGACCTGAGATTATAACGATTTGATTGGATAACCGATGACCTCTCAATTAGGTCACATTCTGATGTAACTATTTTTTCATTCTTAACAAACACGTGAATTCATTCATTCTACAACTTAAATGCATTGTGGGAATGTACCATTGCGAACGTTGCCATGTCGCTGTTTAATTGTTAGTCGAACTGTGACAATATATCTGTCGAAAAACATAAACGCAATGTTTCCACCAGTGATGTTAGCCGAACGAAGCAACTGCAAACCAAGAAACGGGGTGCTACGGAGTAGTTTACTGTAGGAGGCTGTACGAGGCGATGACAACTGACATGCATCGTGACGTCGGTTACCAAGGCAGTGACGTCATTACGGTGTGACGTCATGCAAATATTGTACTACAGTACAACACTCTTCCGCAACCTCTTTATGAAACCGGTTTCGGTTTGAAACCCAAAAATAACAAAAATACGCTATTTTGTCAAATTTAATGCATGTAAGAAGTGGGTAATAAATAAAATACCACACTCGGTCTCATTACATACGAATTATACGAAACTCGTGACCTTCCTATGGTATCTGACCTCGCTTTCGCTCGGTTTTAAACCATAGGAAGGACACTCGTTTCGTATAATTCGTATGTAATGAGACCTCGTGTAGTATTCTCTATGTATGCAAGGGACCCGTGATGATCTGGGTTAGAATTGATCTTCAGTAAGCTATGCTTGTTGTAAGAGGCGACTAATCATAGATCGGGTGGCCAGGCTCACGGACTTGGTTCACACATGTCATCGTATCCCAATTGCGTAGATCGATGCTCATGCTGTTAATCACTTGTTTTTCTGGTCCAGACTGGATTATTTACAGACTGCCACCATATAGCTGGAATATTTCTCAGTTCGGCTTAAAACTGAACTCTCTCATTCACTCTGTATGCAAGGAAGTTAACTGACTATTTAAGTCGAGTGTCCAACCTTGCTGAACTATGCAGGTACTTCGTAAAATGATCGTTAGTGCCACCACTGGCTGCTACAAGTTATTCCTTTCAGTGTCCCTGATTTGACCAATCAGATTCTACCTCTCATAACATATCAGGATGACCTGACCAATAATCAAGATCATTATGTGACAAGTCAGAAGTTCATCTGACCACCAATGCACCTTGATTAAAACATGAAATGGAACTGGACTTCTGTAATCACCCTTGCCTCATGGAGAAGGGTAGTGATAATCTCAGCTTTGTTATCTGGAAATACTTGTAAATGCCGTTAGTATTTGACGTCCTTGAGATTGTAGCCGAACGCATTAGTGTATTGTAGCCTGGTACTGAGTTAGCATAAAATTGCAATATGAAAGTCCAGTCAATGACCACCTTAAACCTGTCGCCACCATCGTGGTTTGAGCAGCCATGCAGGGCTAGGTTCTGGCCAGCACACACCTGTAGAAACTGCTGGGATTATTATGTTTTTTTAATTTCTGGAAATGTGAAACAGTAATATTGGCGATGTGCTGGTTTTAAACGCTTAACAAGTACAGGGCATATCATGTTAGGTGCACTAAAAAATGTTACAAGTATGATCATACAGTAAAAACTTAATAAATTTATGACCAGTCAGTTCTTTTCTGTTTTTTATTTAACAATAAGGTTAGGGTGATTTGAAATTATGATAAATGTGATTAAACCAAACAATCATAGAATTGTTATTGGTGATTATGTAGAGGGAGCAATCTTATTATTCCGGCAGCATCCATTGTCACGTGCTGGCCGCGTGATGCATTGAATTTTAATTATTCCATTAACGACGGTCCATGCATATGTGACGCTGCATTTAGTCAGTAAATAGACATACAGGTATAAACTGAAAAGGCAACTCAAGGTGTTATTGTGCTTTTGTCTTATCAACATTAGTGGTGTTCCAATTAATTGAAATAATCGAAGATTGGTCGCAGTGACCAAACAACCAAGCAATCGATCACATTTTCTCATAATCGAACATAAACAATTTTGGAACTACTGTTTTAGTCTTTGAAATACTTGACAATGGAACATATCTTAGAAGTTGTCAGGCCCTGGAAATATGTTTATTTCTTAGAAAACCCACTTCACTAACTGAAAAGTCATGACTGAATATTTCTCTAAGACTCCAGGAAGTTTATGTTCATGATATATTAGTCATCACTTTAAAGTAACAAGTTGCAACATGTTATACTTTTCTGCAGTAACAACCTGGAAAGGAAAATCTGAAAAATGACGCTAACCAATTTTGTTCGATGATTGTTCGTTGGTAATGAAGCAATCATCAATTGTGAGATTTCAACCAATTCCCAACACTAATCAACATGTATTTTATGTATGTTTGTATTCAAGCAATTTAAACTAATTGTGGTTGTAGTATTTTAGTTAAAGGCATATTTCACTATTGAAGGTTTTTTGCATTGATGTTTTTAATTGTTAGACAGTCTTACTTCCTGGTGTGATGTTACTTGGTTTAACCTATTGCCATGTGTTGTGTCTGCAGGTGAGAAGGTGGCGTGACGATGGCGCTCTCACCCCGATGTGTACAGCCAGACCAGGCTGGTCCAATGTCAGCTTCAGACGTGGTCTATACAAGAAAAAACTCCGCAACATCCAAGTCAACCTCATCGACATCCTCAATATTGATACAGAACGTAAGGTGGTTCGAGTTGAGCCATTGGCTAGCATGGGTCAGCTGACTGCCTTCCTCAACCCCCTTGGCTGGACTCTCCCAGTCCTACCTGAACTTGATGATCTCACTGTGGGTAAGTTGGTAACAGGGGGCTGACAGTTAGAGCCAGTATTTACATGCCAGGCTATAACCAGCGTGATGTTGGTAACAGGGGGCTGACAGTTAGAGCCAGTATTTACATGCCAGGCTATAACCAGCGTGATTGTTTTGTCCACACAGATGTCAGGGTTACATCTGGTCTTCAATAAACCATCCTTGTTGTAACAGGATCTGGTGGTCTGACTAGCCGACTTGGTTGACAGATGTCATCGTATCCCAACTATGCCTGTGATGATCCGGGATAGAATTGGTCTTCAGCAATCCATCCTTGTCGTAACAGGCAACTGACTGACTGACTGACTGAGTTTAGTTTTACGCCGCTTTTAGCAATATTCCAGCAATATCACGGCGGGGGACACCAGAAATGGGCTTAACACATTGTGCCCATGTGGGGAATCGAACCCGGGTCTTCGGCGTTACGAGCCAACGCTTTAACCACTAGGCTACCCCACCGCCCCTAACAGGCAACTAATGGGAGCGGGTGGTCAGGCTCGCTGACTTGGTCGACACATGTCATCACATCCCAGCTAAGTAGATCGATGCTCAAGATATTAATCACTTGATTGTCTGGTCCAGACTGGATTGTGGGCCAGTGTATCCATAGGTTCATTTCCATACTGTCTGGTTGTTGGACACTGTACTGGGCTGCGGTCTGTATAAGTGTCTACGTGCATACATTGCCATTTATCCTGTCAGTGTAGCACAATCTCCATGTAGCACTGGAACGTCCATGTTGCAGACTGTGTATCACCTGGTTCGGAGCCAGTGACGCAGTGTCATGCCATTCGAACCTTGCTTAGCCAGACACTTGTATTCTCTCTGATATGAGGATAAATGAGTGTGTTAGTTTGGTTTTACGCTGCTTTTAGCAATATTCCAGCAATATCATGCTGGGGGACACCAGAAATTGGCTTCACACATTGTACCCATGTGGGGAATCAAACCCAGGTCTTTGGCGTGACAAGCCAATGCTTTCACCACTCTGCTACCCCACCGCCCCATGTGGATAAATGACCCATGAAGATCTGGGTTAGAATTGCTCTTCATCACCTGATGCTTGTAATAGGTGACAACAAGATCAGGTGGCTTGCCCTCCTGTCATTGTATCCCATTTGCGTATTTCGATGCTCGTGATGTTAATCACTGAATTATCTGGTCCAAGCTCAGTCATGTAGCGGGAATATTGCTCAGTTTGACCTTAAACAAAAAAAAAACTAACAACAAAACCAAAATTCCATGCAAGCACTAAAACAAACTTTGGTACCAGGAATATTTTATTGGAAGAACATGTTATCTTAGTTATAGTGTACCTCTTTGTTACAACTGATCGCCATCGCCGGACATATTGGATGTATAGCATGGCTTGATTAGTCATGGTTGAAATATCTCTTGTGAAATATGTCGAGCCACAGTGAAGAGTCATTTCCTGAAGCCTGTTGTAGTGTACCTCTTTGTTACAACTGATCGCCATCGCCGGACATATTGGATGTATAGCATGGCTTGATTAGTCATGGTTGAAATATCTCTTGTGAAATATGTCTAGCCACAGTTAAGAGGAAATTCCTGAAGCCTGTTGTAGCGTGTGATACCATATTTGCCATTGCCAGCCATCTAGAAAATAGCTGAACCAGGTCGATCATTTAACCCACCAAAAAGTTAAATTTGTTGTTTTGAGATTGAGTGCGAGCATTGTTAGATGGTGATATTAAAACTTTTTCATTAATAATTACGATCAAATTGTTATTATTTTGTACTAGAATCTGTGAAAAACACGTAAAAATTATGAGTGTAGTGTAGATGTTAATACTTCCTGGAGTAGTACCACCCTTGTATAACTGTTGATACTTGCTGGAGTAGTACCACCCTTGTATAACTGTTGCAGGAGTAGTACCACCCTTGTATAACTGTTGATACTTGCTGGAGTAGTACCACCCTTGTATAACTGTTGATACTTGCTGGAGTAGTACCACCCTTGTATAACTGTTGATACTTGCTGGAGTAGTACCACCCTTGTATAACTGTTGATACTTGCTGGAGTAGTACCACCCTTGTATAACTGTTGATACTTGCTGGAGTAGTACCACCCTTGTATAACTGTTGATACTTGCTGGAGTAGTACCACCCTTGTATAACTGTTGATACTTGCTGGAGTAGTACCACCCCTGTATAACTGTTGATACTTGCTGGAGTAGTACCATTCTTGTATAACTGTTGATACTTGCTGGAGTAGTACCACCCCTGTATAACTGTTGATACTTGCTGGAGTAGTACCACCCTTGTATAACTGTTGATACTTGCTGGAGTAGTACCACCCTTGTAGTAACTGTTGATACTTGCTGGAGTAGTACCACCCTTGTATAACTGTTGCTGGTGTAGGACCACCCTTGTATAACTGTTGATACTTGCTGGTGTAGTACCACCCTTGTATAACTGTTGATACTTGCTGGTGTAGTACCACCCTTGTATAACTGTTGATACTTGCTGGAGTAGTACCACCCTTGTATAACTGTTGATACTTGCTGGAGTAGTACCACCCTTGTATAACTGTTGATACTTGCTGGAGTAGTACCACCCTTGTATAACTGTTGATACTTGCTGGTGTAGTACCACCCTTGTATAACTGTTGATACTTGCTGGAGTAGTACCACCCTTGTATAACTGTTGATACTTGCTGGAGTAGTACCACCCTTGTATAACTGTTGATACTTGCTGGAGTAGTACCACCCTTGTATAACTGTTGATACTTGCTGGAGTAGTACCACCCTTGTATAACTGTTGATACTTGCTGGAGTAGTACCACCCTTGTATAACTGTTGATACTTGCTGGAGTAGTACCACCCTTGTATAACTGTTGATACTTGCTGGAGTAGTACCACCCTTGTATAACTGTTGATACTTGCTGGAGTAGTACCACCCTTGTATAACTGTTGATACTTGCTGGAGTAGTACCACCCTTGTATAACTGTTGATACTTGCTGGAGTAGTACCACCCTTGTATAACTGTTGATACTTGCTGGAGTAGTACCACCCTTGTATAACTGTTGATACTTGCTGGAGTAGTACCATTCTTGTATAACTGTTGATACTTGCTGGAGTAGTACCACCCTTGTATAACTGTTGATACTTGCTGGAGTAGTACCACCCTTGTATAACTGTTGATACTTGCTGGAGTAGTACCACCCTTGTATAACTGTTGATACTTGCTGGAGTAGTACCACCCTTGTATAACTGTTGATACTTGCTGGAGTAGTACCACCCTTGTATAACTGTTGATACTTGCTGGAGTAGTACCACCCCTGTATAACTGTTGATACTTGCTGGTGTAGTACCACCCTTGTATAACTGTTGATACTTGCTGGAGTAGTACCACCCTTGTATAACTGTTGATACTTGCTGGAGTAGTACCACCCTTGTATAACTGTTGATACTTGCTGGAGTAGTACCACCCTTGTATAACTGTTGATACTTGCTGGAGTAGTACCACCCCTGTATAACTGTTGATACTTGCTGGAGTAGTACCACCCTTGTATAACTGTTGATACTTGCTGGAGTAGTACCACCCTTGTATAACTGTTGATACTTGCTGGAGTAGTACCACCCTTGTATAACTGTTGATACTTGCTGGAGTAGTACCACCCTGTATAACTGTTGCTGGAGTAGTACCACCCTTGTATAACTGTTGATACTTGCTGGAGTAGTACCACCCTTGTATAACTGTTGATACTTGCTGGAGTAGTACCACCCTTGTATAACTGTTGATACTTGCTGGAGTAGTACCACCCTTGTATAACTGTTGATACTTGCTGGAGTAGTACCACCCTTGTATAACTGATACTTTGCTTGCTGGAGTAGTACCACCCTTGTATAACTGTTGATACTTGCTGGAGTAGTACCACCCTTGTATAACTGTTGATACTTGCTGGAGTAGTACCACCCTTGTATAACTGTTGATACTTGCTGGAGTAGTACCAACCTTGTATAACTGTTGATACTTGCTGGAGTAGTACCACCCTTGTATAACTGTTGATACTTGCTGGAGTAGTACCACCCTTGTATAACTGTTGATACTTGCTGGAGTAGTACCACCCTGTATAACTGTTGATACTTGCTGGAGTAGTACCACCCTTGTATAACTGTTGATACTTGCTGGAGTAGTACCACCCTTGTATAACTGTTGATACTTGCTGGAGTAGTACCACCCTTGTATAACTGTTGATACTTGCTGGAGTAGTACCACCCTCTTGTATAACTGTTGATACTTGCTGGAGTAGTACCACCTTGTATAACCTTGTATAACTGTTGATACTTGCTGGAGTAGTACCACCCTTGTATAACTGTTGATACTTGCTGGAGTAGTACCACCCTTGTATAACTGTTGATGCTTGCTGGAGTAGTACCCTTGTATAACTGTTGATACTGTTGCTGGAGTAGTACCACCCTTGTATAACTGTTGATACTTGCTGGAGTAGTACCACCCTTGTATAACTGTTGATACTTGCTGGAGTAGTACCACCCTTGTATAACTGTTGATACTTGCTGGAGTAGTACCACCCTTGTATAACTGTTGATACTTGCTGGAGTAGTACCACCCTTGTATAACTGTTGATACTTGCTGGAGTAGTACCACCCTTGTATAACTGTTGATACTTGCTGGAGTAGTACCACCCTTGTATAACTGTTGATACTTGCTGGAGTAGTACCACCCTTGTATAACTGTTGATACTTGCTGGAGTAGTACCATTCTTGTATAACTGTTGATACTTGCTGCTGGAGTAGTACCACCCTTGTATAACTGTTGATACTTGCTGGAGTAGTACCACCCTTGTATAACTGTTGATACTTTGCTGGAGTAGTACCACCCTTGTATAACTGTTGATACTTGCTGGATACTTGTAGTACCACCCTTTGTATAACTGTTGATACTTGCTGGAGTAGTACCACCCTTGTATAACTGTTGATACTTGCTGGAGTAGT